CGCGTTCAGCAGGATCAGACTACCCCTGAGAACAAGTTTTCAGCGAATTTGGTAATTTCAAGGTATTTTGGCGCCGGCGCCTGTGGCGCGGGCGCCAGGAGGTTTCGTGCCTAGCGGATGTGATATTCATGTTCAGGAGGTCAAACTACCCCAGGGTACAAATTTTCAGCCAATTCTGCCAAGGCAGAAAAAAATCGGTCTAAAACTGGCCTGTTTGAGATTGGGGCAAAAGGGCAAATAGTGCCAAAACTTCTTATCCTATTCCTGGTATGGAGCGGGATATTTCGATGCAAATCCTGGTGCATTTGAAACCCCTGCTCAACACTGCTTTCCTGCTGAATTGGTAGGACACTGTGACTACACCACTTCTGGAGAGTAATTTTTCAACCGTTGTGCACTGCGAGTAGCTGTTCTGCTTTAACCATCGTGAAGGAACACCACATGTGTTCTTAATTAATTGTAATTCGATTCATACGATCACCTGCAAACCGGATATTTTTATAGTAAATATTGAAAGAGAAGCACAGCTACCGGCATTTGACTCTTTCCTGCTGCAAATGAGGGCAAGCTTGACAAAATAACAAAATAGAAATACTTTGTCGACTCACAGAAGATGTTCCGAAAAAATGCAAAAGTACGACCCTGTCAAGGAATCGAACCCATGACCTCGCATCTATGAAGCAACTTACCTATCCACCATAGACCACTTGTGACTATCTGTTCTCGAATTTACAGTCCTCATCATTACGGACTGTCGGGGCGGCACAGCCGCGCTGCACTGTGACGCGACAGCGGCTGCGGCTCGGTGACGGTGAATCAGCTGATTTCGATGGAATTCGGCTGCAAATTCCCACTTTTTCAGCTCTTCGATGGAATTCGGCTGCCAAGTTCCGCTTTTTCAGCGCTTCAGCTTCTAAAATAGACTGGTGGAGTTATTCTGAACAGATTTTGAATTCGTACTGTCTCAGAATTTCGTTCTTTATTTTATGTCAATTATCTATAGCTCTTTTCCGTGTATTATCTGCCTTATCTTCAGCATTTAATTCAAATGACTTACATCCTTGAAGTTCATTCAGAGAATCAGTACAATTTAAAAACTGATTCAAATAACTTACTTCCGATTTTCGAGCCGGGACATTGAAGAGTTGAAAAAGTGGGAACTCGCAGACCGAAGTCCATGGAAACTCAAGCTTGATTTTCGCCGACCGAGCCGGTCCGCTGTCGCGTCACGTATGCAGCGCGGCTAGTGCCGCCCGCAGTCCAGTAATGATGGCGCGTCTGTAACCTTGAGCTAACGAAACGAGTATCAGCGAGTGCTTGGTTAGAACTCGCCCTACCCTCTCCCCCTCCCCCCTCCCAAGAGAATCAGTCGGCAACAAATCTTTGTAAGCAGTTTTGAGTTCAGCGTCCGAGACGTAGACTTCGGTATGCATTCCATACTGAATGGCCATGGTGACCTGTTGACCTTCCCTGGTTAGCTGTCAAACGTTTTGGCGTGCCTCGTCTTCTCCAGGGGCCAGAAATGCATCGTGAATTAGCCATCACATGCGTGTTAGTCAGAAGCGAATCGGTTCGTTAGTGTTTGTTATAGTTTCGCTGCTGACTAACATCCGCAAGTGACAGCGGATTTATAGTGGGATTCTGGCCTCTGTAATAAGAAGACCACGTCGAAATTAAGACCGTAAATAAATATTCGACCTAAAATCGTCGAGAGGCACAGCAGTGTTAACGTATTAGACTCTAGTCGTCTTCGCTGCAGACGCTGGGGCGTGTCAGGGGGATGGATTGCTTTGCGCCGGCTCGTTTTCCATCAGTTGAAGGCGCTCCACAAGTTGGTGGTGAAGGGGCTGGCGTCACTCCATACCCACCCCTCCCTCCTGACACGCAGCATCTGCTGCGAGAACGGCTGAGCAAACGAGGAAGAGCTTTACTCACCTCATCTCCTTCGATGAGTACTTCCACTTCTTTCAACGTTCCCAGGTTCACAGCATCAGCATCAAAGTTGTGCTTCTGAATTGAGGATATGATTGTGAGCTCTACTGTCTACTGTGCGGCTGTAAAGTGCAGTACTAGGGTGGATAGTGTTAGCTCGGGGGAATTGTTGAAAATACAGTTTACTGGGTGGCTTGGCATACTTCTTCTAGGCGCGGAGATAAACTCATAATCGTATGACGCAGACAAACGATTGGCAACCTTTTTTAGCCCAGAGATTTTGGAGTCTCGAGGTTTTCCAAAATAGGAAACTGCTTTCAAAGCATATGCGGTTGACATCCTCAGAATACGGCAATAGTTGTCAGCCTACCCGCGGCGTTTTCAACCACTGGTTGTTTTCCACCAGAACGGTCCACAATTGCTAGAAAGCGCGGTAATTATCTCATTCTACACCTCCTGAAACCGTCCCACCGGACTGGTATGATATAACTCTTAGATGTTATTGTAAGCCGACACTGCAAAATGCGCTAAAGTAGGCATACACACTGCCGGCACTTGCAACTCCACTTTATAAGAAAGACTGTATAAGAACTTACAGAGCCTTCCGCATACGGGACATCGTCGTGGAAGGTTCTCATGCCGCTGTTGCCATCCTCACCAATAATGTTAAGATTGGCTCGGACGTTCCATTGCTGGCAGTGGTCGCCAGTGTAATAGTGTAGAGAATGTCTACAATAAGGATTTTTAAGCGCTAATTGATAAATATCGCCACTGTAGGTTGCCTGTCTTCCGAGTATAATA